CAACGTATAATGCAGTGTCCTCGCTCAGCCCCCCCCCCCTCATATAAAATATTGACAGTTAACCGTTTGGTTTACTATTACATAATTTAAACTATTTTACAAGACGAAACAACTTTTACAGTACAAGCTGATTCACATTCTTTCTCATGCTATATGCTGCCGGACGGTTACAAAACCTCCTTGTAATGCCGTCCTACGTCCTTACAAGATACATCACCATGGAATTGACTTTATTCATGAAGTACCCAAATGAGCTCGTGAATGTCACATGAAACTATAGCTAAATTTGTCTCTTCCTGAAGAAAAAGGTGAATTTATGTTCACTGAAATATGAAAAGGCTGCTGAATCGATGAAATCAGAACTGAGATGTTTAAAGCTTTAGGATAATGAAGCATCTGGTGGTTAACGAGCGAACCGTGACCAAAGCAGAACTGAGTCTGAAGATTAATCTGTCTGTGTTCAGGCACGTAGAGCGTCGTGCTCAGAATCGAGAGGTATTAGCTTCAAGTCCTGGCCTGGGTTACTTGTACTTCTTCCTTCTGAGGTTGATTATTAAATACCGTTTTGAAAAATGAGTGGGGAGGAAAAAGGAGAATGCAGAATACGCTTTTGTGTTCGAATTTCGTAGCGGGTTGGCCATGTCATCCTCATTACAAAGGAGTCACGAGATAACTGTTAACGCATTCTCATGCGCAATTTCCAGGCATTAACAGTCTAGATCGTGCTACCCATCCAATTATTTCTCTTCCATTCTCTGAGCTGTCTCACATTTTCGAGATTTTACACCTGGTTTGCCCCAGAGTTACATGATGAAAAGATGACGATTCTCCCTTTGGAGGATAATTATGAAGTGGCAGCTCCCGCTTTGGTAATTCAGAGTGTCATTCTGTAATTCTACAATTTTTACTGCTTCGTTGCCTATCCTTGCGAGACGTTCGTGCGTTCATAGCATACGTTCATGGCTACCATAGCGGCTCATGAATTATAAGCCAATATATTTAATTCTGCCATAATAGCGACAACTTTGGAAGTTAGATGATCCTGAGCTTGAGATTATTATTGATTATATTGAAAATATTTTTTTAAATATTGATTTGCGATATAGCGAACAGCGAAAATGGAATCGTGATCAATTCGTTGTGTATGAAGATGATTATCGAACAGACTGTCCACGAGGGTCGTAAGACGTTGCCTAAACTTGAAACACGGACAAGTCAAGAGGTTACTAACCTTGCCAAAGCACTTTTGCTTGGCATGTGCTTCGCCTCCAGCTTAGGAGGAATGGCGACACTTACCGGCACATCCACGAACCTGATAATGGCGGGACTTGTTACAAAGTGAATTAATTTACTGTGAAATATATCAACTTAAAGCACTTCTGCAGCTCGTTCCCGTTGGAAAAGGGTCAGAGCGTCAACTATACGCTTTGGATGCTGTTTGCTGTGCCGGTCACCGTCATCTGCCTCATAATGTGCTGGCTTGTGCTGCAGTTCTATTTCCTCGGCATCCGGTCGACGATCAAAAACCTGACATGCGGCGACTCTAGGATGAACAGCTCAGAGGAAAAGGTCAAGAAGATTATTGCTAGTAAATATTCAAATCAGCCATCGATGTCCTACGCCGAAGTATCCGTTCTTACGCTCTTCTCCATCCTGGTTTTGATGTGGATGCTCCGTGATCTTGGCGCATCGACATTCAGCGGCTTTGGGGTGCTCTTCAAACCTAGGTAATGGAGACCGTTCAGTTCCACCATTTCCAGGTTACCAATGCATTACTTTTAGGTACTTCACGGACGGCACGAGCGCCATCCTAGTCACGATTCTGCTGTTTATTCTGCCCGACCAGAAAATGCATATATTTAGCTCGTCTTCCAGTTAATACACGTACACCGGCTTTGCAGTTGCATTCCAAT